TTCCGCAGGATTATTCCAGGAGGTGGTGACTGGCATGTGGTCTGTTTGATACAGTGGATGTGCATGTCTGAACACAGCCGACATCAAGAACAAACCCTGAATCACACCAGCACACAGAACTGAACAAACTCAAAGCACACTTTACTGGTAGAATCTTCTATATTAGCTTCATTTATTTTGCTCTTCCTTTTAACAAAATAAGATTTGCATAATTTAAGTGTGTAGATACTCTGTACATATTTACACCATTTCTTTATGTTTTTTGACATTTATTTGAACAAAAACACAATAAAAACAGTGAAATTGTGAATTATTACAATTTAAAATAACTGTTTTCTGTGTGAATATAATGTAAAATGTTATTTATTCCTGAGATTTAAAGCTGTTTTTTTTTTCCTTTGCCATCACAGGAATAAAGTACATATTTATTAAAATAGAAAACAGTTATTTTCAATTTTAGTGAAAATAATTTTTAAAGTTTAGTTATTTCACAATATTACTGTAAAGAAAAGAACACACTATTAGCTCCAGTTTTATTCATAAAATAAAATTAGTCTGCTACTTACACAGAGCTGCCATCTCTTTGGGAAGGTCCGCTCCAAATCGTCCAAATAGGCTGCCATTGGCCAGAAGATCAAAGGGGGAGTGGTTTCGCATTGAACTGAAGGCAAAGGGGTAGAACCCTGTCATATGACTCATAGGCCTCTCCCTATTGGTTGCCATTTTGATGATGGCGGTCTCTCAGTGTCTAAAGACTGTCCTACGGTCCTTTCGTTGAGATGGTAAATTACCACTTCTCTATCTTTTCACTTCGACACTTTTTATAAAAGAAATTCTCTTACTAAGCTGTGTGCAACAATCGTAAATCCATTATAAACATTTGCGCAGCACTGAATGGAAGGTGATCTCAGCAAGTGATCCAGAATTGATGCACAGTGATCCAACAGATGCCTGCAAAAAAACACAAGAGGAAAAAAATAGCATTTAAAAATAATTTGACCCCAATGCACTATTAACAACAGTTTAGCACAAGAGGTCAGACCAATGCTTTCTCATAAAATTAGTCAGGATCCAACTGGTGAGGCAACGTCAGACAGAAGAACGCTATCAACATATAAAGAAGAATAATGCAGAATTTGAACTGTCTACATCTGACAGCTATGAGATCACTATCTTCTTTTTTCAGAGTAAAAAATAGAAATTTGTCCATAAAATATACCATCTACAGTTGCGCCTTAATTTACTTATTTTTTGCTCAGTCTTTACACACTAAGTAATGTGCATTTGATGTTGCAGTGCAAAGGATGTCTGGGGAAAAAAAACAAAAAAACTAAATCAGATCTGACCATTCAGATTGAAACACACACATTTCCAAGAACCGGAATTGCAATCTGATTTCAGACCACATATGAATGTGGTTTGGACTGGGTTTGTAAAAGCCAGATTTCATGTGGTTTTCTGCTGTTAGGTCTGTAAACAACTAAATGGGTTTGAGCCGGATAAGCCAAAAAAAGAAAAACAAAAATGCTGCCTGTCTGAGCAAAGAACATTTTACAAATAATCTAGCCTGAATTGGTGAACAGTTTAGCCAGGTCCGCCAAATCAGTTGTCACATTTCACGTAAATGGCATGCTTTTAAGAAGTGACAAGCAACCACTGAAACTCTGAGTTCTAATCATTTTGCTTGCATATTTCTCCAGGTAAGACATTTTACCTTGAAGACATCTGAGATATAAAAGACACAGCATCATAATCAAACAGTCACGACGCCATTTGCTTTAGTGAGAACCACTGTGAAAGAAATTGAGATCCAACAAACAGATGAAGTGAGGGGGAGAAACAGAACGAGTCTCTTGTTGGGGCATTCATCTGAACGGCCTCCAAGCCATGAAGTGATTCCAGCCAATGCCATATGATTTAAATCAGAGACACAGCTCAATAAAGCTGCCTCTGTTCTACTGCCACATGCCCAGGGTGGAGGGCACCCAGCGCTCGCTAACCCCCTCCTTCTGCCTCCATCAGGACTTGATGGAAAGTTCCAGAGCACAAACCCATAAATGGTGAAGCTGACTTTCCATATCTTCATACAGATTACAAATACAAGTTTTCTCAACTGACACACATGACTGTAATGGATTGCATTTTTAAAGAATCATGTTTACATTAGCTGTTTTGCACATTTTAAATGTATTCTAGTAAGGAGTTTCCATTGGCATCTATTGTTTTCATTTCACAGGTACATTACCTGGTAACTTTTGCACTTTAGATTTGAATTAAGTCACGATTTATAAAGTTCACTCCTTTTAATCTACTTATAAGTGGACTATTCTCTCTCTATCTTTGTCTGTCTCTTAGCCTGCATGGTTCTTTCTTTTAATTGCAGTCTGTTGCTCTGTAAGGCTGTGTTCATTTGGAGCAGGGCAACAGTAAACTGTTCCACATGTGAGGACTGTGCAGAATGGCCATGCTTCAGAACGCATTAACAATCAATCCCACTCTAATCGTGCACACACAAACACTGAACTACATTCAAATACACCGCACTGTCCCGTGTACTTACTGACTGACATGTATATGACCTTTTTTATTTTATTTTATTTTATTTTATTTTAAGCCCCAAATTCCCCAGAACTGAATTCCTTATATCTTCTTCATCCCTCCCTTTTTGACTCGCTGTCCTTTGAAAATCCCCCTTCTTGACATGTTTTCGTCTTCAGCGGTTTCTTCATCTCATTCAAGATGACAGTTTTCATGATGTTTTCAACAAAGCGCTGAGAAGAACAATAAAAAAAGAAGCAGAACAGGATGAAAGAAAACAATGAAGATGTGTTTTAGAAAAAAGCTGAAAAGTGCAAGGTGAAAAAGAAAAGAAAAGAAAAGAAAAGAAAAGTTATGGGACTTTGCATGCAAAAGCGTTGTATGGAAATGTATTAGGAGTACAGAAAATCAAACAGAATCATTATTGAGTACTTAGAAGTAAAAAGTGGTCAAAATGAGAACAAAAGAGTAAACAAAAGTGGAAAATTCAAAGCCAGGAATGAAACATTCCTCTATTGTGCAGTAGTTGCTCATTAATTAAACACACATTGGGCATAAGGAGAAGTCTAGTGTGTGTGTGTGTGTGTGTGTGTGTGTGTGTGTGTGTGTGTTAGGGGTGAGTGGGGTCTTGCAGCATATAAAAAGCAATGGTTTTATTTCACCCAGTAAAACGGTGAAATAACAAGCAGTTATACAGGAGAACTGCCTATACGGGTTAATGACTTGTAAGCAAAGTGTACCCAGCATTCACCCAGAGCATACCATATACAGTATTAATATATATACATTCTTTTAAATAGCATTTGAAGAAAACATTACCAATTTTATGCACACATTTGTTTTTATAGGATAATAAGGTGGGACATTTGTTGATTTTATATTAAACTAATTATATTTGTTATATCATAACCGTAACCAACCTCTAAACTTAATTACATTTTACAAAATATTTTTAGCCCCTTCATTAAGCCATTTTCCAACGACATTCTGTACAATTATAAGCTATTAAAGAAATGGTTCACCCAAAAATGTTATTCATCTCCAAGAAATTGGAGAAATTTAGCATTACATCACTTTCTCACCAATGGATCAATGCAGTGAATGGGTGCCATCAGAATGAGAGTCCAAACAGCTGATGAACGCATCACAAAAATCCACAACAGTAATGCAATTAACACAATGAAAAGCTGCATATATCCCATAATCCATAATAACTTTTGCTCCAGTGAAAAAGTCCATCCCCTGTTGTCTCTCACATCAAAGTCCACCCACATATTTGTTAAAAGCTGTTTTGGGCGTGCTTGATCTGATTCAGATGAGATGTCTTTTTCACTGGAGGAAATGTTATTATGGTATTTTAGTCAGACAAGGTGGTTTGAAGTTAAAACGTTTTAATGATGGATTTGTTTCTTACAAACATTCAGCTTTTTTTCCCCCGCAACCCCTTAAATGATGGACTGGAGTGGTGTGGATTACTTGCGGATTATTGTGATGTTTTTATCAGCTGTTTGGACTCTCATTCTGATGGCACCCATTCACTGCAGAGCATCCGTTGCTGAGCAAGTGATGTAATGCTACATTTCACCAAATGAATTAATTCTTTAAGGTCCATTACCCATGCTTAGCATCTAGTTTCTATGTTTCTTTCATCTAACCCATGTCCCTAGCCTCCAGATGGACACATGCTGCAGGGCTGTATGTCTGCTCTCTCCTGTGGCCCTCTGCAGGGTGCGCACCTTTACACTGTCAACAAAAGCGCCTGTGTGTGCCCTGCCTCAATGCTGCATTTATAGGACGGGCCGCCTGGCAGGGTTTGCCTGGTCTGGGTCTGCTCTCATTTACCAGCGTGAACAGAGGGAGGGGGTATAAAGAGAGGAGGTAATGAGGTAATGCCCACAAACTTTCTATGATGCAGTATTGGGAAATATTTATCTCATGTGGGTAACACAAAGACAGCATAAACACGGCCAATGCTGAAGGTTATGTTTCTAAATAATCAACAGATCTCATCAAATTTTCCTGTCAGTTCATCCTTCATAAAAAAATCAATTAATGTTCCTTAACATTTGGAATATAAGAGTTCCACTTCAGTATTAGAAATAAAGGTTCTTCAAAGGTCCTTTGCAGCACCACAGAGTTTTGTGAACTAGATTCAAGCCACTCTTTTTCACCAATAGTTTAGTCAACAGCTTGGTCTCCTCATATCTACACTCCTAACACTAAAGATGATCTATCTATGGGTGCAGCAAAAACCTTTAAAATGTATAAAACTCCATTTCTATTACACAAGAGTTTATTATTTGTTATTTATTTATCAAAATTTAAAAATGGGAGATAAGACTGATAGGGTGCGCACACACACACACACACACGTTTTATTGTTTTGAGGTGCAAAACTGATCTGCCACTTAGGAGCCATTTACACGACAACGTTTTCAGCCAAAAACTGCAAACTTTTATGCATTTTGCCTGTTCGCTTACACGACAACGGCGTTTTGGGGACTGAAAACGCATATTTTTGAAACAGGTTTCAAAGTGCAAGTTTTTGAAAACGGCACTGTTGTCGTTTCCATGTAAACACCCAAAACGAGAATCTTTGAAAACGGTGACGTCATGCGCGTGCGTAGTACGTGTTAGGTATGTAGACATGCGCAGTATGTGTCGATTTTAAAGGCAAGCGCGAAAAAACATACATAACAATGGCGGAGTACATGGTACTGTTGTTGCTGCTCAAGAGTTTGCCAACGCTTCTTCAGCAAAGTGTGGATTTACTTCACCAATATTACAATATACAACATATAATCGTCACTTCTCTACAGGTACTGTTTACTAACAAGGTGACAGCGCCAACTACTGGCCTGGCATACATAATACAGCGTTTTTGGCCGTTTTCGCGGATATGTGTAAACGTGAATCATTTTGAAAACACTGTCGTGTATACATAAAACTTTTTAAAAACACAAGGGAAAAACTTTTCCGTTTTTTACTACATCGCTGTCGCATAAACGTAGCCTTAGTAGTATTTAGCCAAAACAGGTAGATGCCAACATGGACAGGTGGCATGGCATGTCCTCATCACAAAAAAATATTGACAAAAACTAAAGCTAAAAGAAACTAGGCTACTTTATGTTACCAGGTTTACTACTCTGCTTTCTGCTTTCTGTACTATTACTTCTGTAAATATTGCTGGCATGAGAAATGCTTGTGATGTTCATTTGTAAGCCACTTTGGATAGGAGTATCTAAATGACCAACGGTAAGTGTGATGTCCAGTGAGCACAATGTGACTTTAAGGTAACATTTTTATGGCTGACGTTGGTTTAAATAATAAATAATTTCCTCTTTTGTGGAATATTTTGTTCATACCACATAAAAAGCCCTCTATTGGGTGGTTGCCATCCTGAAAACTGGATC